TAATTTCGTGTCAGTTTGTTCTCATCACATTTAAATGAACAAATGGTCCCATGATTTGAATAATAAAGTCAAGACATAAAAAATTTGGATCAATTATGAATCCAATGGTAAAGTGTAATTAACCTAATTAATGGAGTAAGAACTGAAGGTAATAAAAAAATTAAGACAATAATGATTCCAAGTTTACAAAAAAAAAAAAAAAAGAGCATGTAATAATCCACTTAATTATTCCAAGTTTGACAAATATGTTTGAGTACGCCTCTGCATGCATAAGATCAACTAGCTTGAGAAGCCACCAATTTTATTAACTAACGCGTCTTTAGTAAGTTGACCACCGAAAAAGAAGATTTAAATCTACATATATGTAGTAAAGCACCTCGCTCTTAGGTCTAAAATCCTTTCTATCTAACTAGTTGGGCTCTTCTTTTCCCTTAAAGTAAAATAGGATAGGCTATTGTTGCTTGAAGGGAAAAGAAAAATGCCAAAAAAAAAAAAAAAAAAGACTCAAGCGCCCTAATACTTTCTATCCCATTTTGTTAGATTTTCTAATACAGATATAGTCATTTAATTCGCACATTATACAGATTATCAATATATCAAAGTCAGCTGACTTACCAGTGAACGGAGTGGAATAAAAGCTAGCAATATATTTAGGTGAAGCTGCCTTGAGACTGATGTTTAACTAAAACACAGGAACTGGCTTTTATGGCAAGACAAATATAAAAATCGAAATTTCTTCATTTATGTAGAGTGTGGAGTACCATGAATTAATGATGCTAAGTTTATGGGGACAGAAGAATGATGTTAAGTTGCTCAGGAGATAAATTTGCACTTTCCAAATCTAAGGAATGCACCATCCACTTCGATGATTGAAGCCCACCCGCATTTTTTAGGTCGCGGTGTAATCTTCAACTTGTACATTCCTTTTTACGTCAAACTTCAATCAAGTGTGTAAAAAAATTAATCTTCTCCCAAAGAAAAAAAAGGTTCTCATATTAGGCAAACTCATAACCTTTTGTATTGCATGCTTGACTAATTAATAAGCATTCTTATTAGTTTCGGCGGTCAAGCTATCTATCTCTTAGAGTCTTTTTCGCAGTCAAGTTCGGGACTCAAATTCTATGCTCGCAACATGTATAGTCAGAGATGGAAAGAGTGTGGAGAGGAGCGAGAGGGATTAAGGGGGAAAAAAGAATATTTTTTACTAATTGATTAGAAAATATATGTTTTGATATGGCTATACGTACGAAAACTGCAAATGACACAGCTACAGAATTTGCAATTTTTGAAATAGTTCTTTATTTTTTTCTGGCAAAAGAAAATAGGACTGTAAAATTGAAGTCGTGAAATGGTAGTAGTACTATTCATTACATAAAAGCAAAGTATAGTTTATAGATTGCTTTGTTAATTTTGCATTTAGATGGGGAGGGAGGGATATTGGCGGAAATGATGTCCGGAACTATGAAGCAATTAATAGGTAGTTTAGTCTTTGAAGCGACAATCAGGAAGCAACGGGTCTGCCTCCTGCCTCGTCGGCCATGCATGCATCGATTCACAAGCAGATGGTTTTGCTCAGATACTGTTGGGTCCCAAGAAAGTAGGACTCTATGCCTCCAATGCTTGTTTTATTTCTTGTACTGCTACTGAAGCAATTACACCTTGATTGATTGAACTAAGAATGTAATGTAATTTCTCTCTTCTCCATTGTTGGTCGGAGCCCAAGTCAGAATGCGGTAACTAGTGAATGATAAATTACTACCCTTTTCTTATGAAATTGGAGGTCTTGATTTTGATTTTAATATTTTCTTTCAAAGGGAACGCTCGGTATTGTATCTGATTTACAGCTAAATTACTGTGTGAAAGCATACATTACACATGTATTTAGACATTTGTCTAAATTAATTTTATTTTTTTTTAATTAACATTTTAGGCTTCTCTTAACGAGCCAAATCCTTGATTTTATTGTACATAAAGTATTATTTAATAAAACAAAAGGGGAAAGGAGTTGAAAATAGATAGTAATCCATTGAAAAAGTTAATGTTTATGCATCAGGCAACAAGATTTGGTCATGTAATTAAAATAGTAAAAGGGGGAGAGCTGGAACATACATGAACATTATCAATTCATGGTTCATGGAATATTATGGCTAAAATGCACTTTCTCCCAGAAACTATAGTTTGTTCCCTCTCACATTGATTCCTTGATCAACTAACTGTACCATGATGCCCTCTTAAACTATTTTATTGAAACACAGATTAATAACAAACACATTCAGAGTATCTGAGGTATATATTTAGTAAATTTGTTCAAATTGCATATATTAAATGGCAATCTTATTTTCAAACATACATCAATAAGTGTCGATCTTGCTACCCAATTGTAGAGTCTCAACAGGTATTTGTCAATTTCCACAGCACATGATTCTACAGTGACATGCATATTGCAGATGGTTGTTAAGTGCAATTAAGTCCCTTAATGGATCTTCTATTATTGCTCTTCAATGTATGGAGGAGAAAGATTTGATGGCTTCTATTACAGATGGTGTAAGTCTGTTTAATTAGGACTAAACTGCACTGTAGGAATAAACCAAAAATTTAGGAAGAACAAGGAAAAGTTAAAGTTGAATGTGATTAGTGATTAGTGATAATATATTTTATTTTTTTTCAACGCATATATATACTGCTATGGTAGTTGTAGCTAGCTAGTGGAGTATATTAGAACAACATCCATTTTACCCTCCTTAACGAAAAGACAACACGTATCAAATCTTATTCTTTACGGGGAACTCTTCCAAGCAAACTTAACTTAATTGATCCTTGAAAATTTAAGGTTTTTATCTCTCTCTGTCACCCGAAATTGAAGTCAAATTAATACTAATTCTTTTATGTGCATGCCAACAATTATAGAGCTCAAAGTTTTTGGTAGGAAGGCTATATATGCTGATCCTTCTGAGACCGAAACGAATTTTCAATTACAGCAATTATGAGCATTAGATATATCGGTTTGGTTAACGAGTATCATTAGGCACTGGTTAAGAGAACTTTCATATGCCTTTGTTTTTTTTTTTTTTTTTGAAGAAAAAAATCTTAAGATATATAGGGTTTACTTTAGATCATCTAAATACAGTTTCCCAGCTGGCTAGCTGTATCAAGAAAATGTTTTTACATTTCAAGAAAAAAAGGAAAAAAGAAAGATATGTTTTACTACCACTTTTGTGAGGGTGTTAAATAAAATTTAAAAAAAAAAGGCAATCTTGCTAATTTTGCATGAAGTGCTACAGCATGAAAGAGGGTAGAATAGTAGAAGTACGTGACGTGAGTAAGGGAGATAAATGAGTCAGAGATGGCTAGGCAGAGAGCGGGGAAGGGGCTTAAATGAAGGGAAGAAGAGGTGGGTTGAAGGCATTTAACAGAAGCCGGTGGTGTGAGTGACGAAGGGGAAGATGTTTGTACAAAGCGAGGTGGTTTCAATGCTCATCCTTGAATTCTGCATTTAATTGAATTCAAGATGATTTAATGAAGGCAGGTAGCCTGACTTAAACACTCCCCCCCTCCCTCCCCTTTCCATCTCTCTCTCTCTCTCTCTCTCTCTCTCTCTCTCTCTCTCTCTCTCTCTCTCTCTCTCTCCACCTACACACACACAAGCATACTAACTTCATACTCTCAAGTATATCAATTATGAATCGATCTAGCTATATGTGCTAGCCTTTAATGTAATTCTGTCTCCTCCTTTTCTTGTTTCTTGTCCAAGATGATGGCAAGTAGTAGTAGTATTATTCTGGCTCAACTTGTGTTATTCAGCATGTCAAATTTAGTTGAAACATGCACTCCTTGACTTAATTTTTGAAATTGTTAAATACTATTATATCAACTCATCCAACCGATGATCTAGGAATGAACTTATAATTGCTCTCCACCACCTATAATTGGGAGGCCAGGAGTTACAATTCTCTTGATGCAAGTAATCTCTTGATTCTTATGCAGTTTGGCTCTTAAGAATGATACATTTTGCATATCTATTCATAATTTGCTTAAACTAAAAAGTTAACCAAGTGTTGTATGAGTACGTAGCAGCAGTACTCTGCTCCTCTTGATATGGAGGTGCTCTCCTCTCACATTGGAAATTCATTCTGATTGAAATGCTAACTAGTAGCTTTTTGGGGTCATTCATAAAAGTGCAGTTGAACAGATTTGGTTTCCTTCAAAAATGCTAGTAGTTCTAGTACATAGCATAATGACACAATGGCAGAGAGAGAGAGAGAGAAGGAGGATGGATGGATGGGACATAAATTCATAGCTCATAAAATGAGGTGTTATTTAAATGCTGATGAGGCAGCAGTTGCAAGGATTTAAAGTTTGGTTTGATGATGATGATGACAAACATTTGCTCATGGGACGTGGTTTGATTTAATTAATAGCCGAGAGAGAGGGTGTTGAGAGCTTTAATAGTTGTAGTAGTTCCCTACTTTACTTCCCTTGTAGTGACCCAATTCTGAAAGTTGGGAGTTATGATATCCATTAAAGAGATATCCATAGGCCAGCATTCATTCAACACCCTCCTTTCTTCAACTGTTTGCAGACTCCCCTATTTAATATCCCCCCATTCTTCCTTCCTTCCCCCCTTCCCTCTCTCCCTCTTAACGTCACCGCCTATACAAATTGCAACAACAATAATAATATTGGAATAATACATCCATTTCCTCAATGTTTTTTTTGGCTTATCAGTGCTGCCTGCTAATTGTTGCTCGCTCATCAGTCATCACATATCCTGCTGCCATGTACGTACGTGGAATGGATAGCCGCCCGCCCAATTCCCTATATCTATCAACTATATATTATTGTAGTAAAAACATATATATATATATATATATATCATCCTAACTCCACAACTGATGATACTTCAGATAATAATTTAAGTCATAAGCAATGCTGATCCATGCCAAAACAGCTAGCGCAATCAAGATCAGGTGTCTTAATTGGTTGTAGCAGCAGCAGCAGCAGTAGTGGTGGTGGTGTAAATTGTAGCACAAATCAGCCAATGCATGAGAGACAGCAGCGCATATATAATTGTGCAGATTTGACCAAGAAGAGTTGGTTACGTTTTTAACATCTATGCTTTTAAGAACAGGAGGAGGAGGAGCCATGGAGTAATTGCAGTAACAACTTCTCCACCACGTCATGGGGTGATATGGATGGGCCCATATGGTTCAACTTGAACCATTAAAGCCATTGCCCTTTTGGATCCTACATATATGCTGTTGTGCGCCTGTACGTATCCTCAATCTTCACACCTATATAAGTTAATAACCACCATAAACAATTTTCCCATATCTTGATCATAATACCAAACTTTTCAATTTCAAAACTCACCACCATACCATGGTTTCCCTTCACACCTCTCTTTCTCCAAGCCGAAGAAAAATCATCCCAGAATTGGAGAATTTGTTCAAGAAGAGGAAATTGCATGATGATGATGACGACGATGATCGGCCTGATCAAGCTCCTCGAAAAATCCCTGATCACCCCATCAAAGGCCAACCCATGATCAAGCCCACACCTGACACAGAGCTACAGCTCGAGACTCCTACACCTATGGAGTGGCAACGTTGCCTTGATATCAAGGTACCTAGCCCATAATTCATGCCATATTTTGCTTGCTAGCTTTTGATATTGAATACTATTGATAAGGTCTGCTTGAAGTACCATTCAAATATGATAAGTTGCATGTGACAGACGGAGATCCCAAGATTTTTATGGATATAATTCTTGATTGATTGCAGTCGGGGCAGATATATTTCTACAACACAAGAACAAATAAGAGGATGCTAACCGATCCAAGGTCAAGCCCAGAGCCACCGGTACCACCACCACCACAGCCAAGTCATGGTCACATGAGCTTAGACCTCGAACTTAACCTACCATGTGGCTCATCAGGTAAAACTCAGGTGACAAATATTTTCACGAAGAACAATTCAGGTAGCACCTCAAATTCCTTGGGTGATGATCATGAACTCCTCGTAAATTCGAGTGCAACCAAGAACAACAACAATGATCAAAAAGGAGGCCTAACGCGGTCTCCCTCATGGTTGACATTCGAAGGATCAGAGCAAGAGATGGTGGCGGCTGCTTGCAAGAAGTGTCATATGTTGGTTATGATGTGCAAGTCTTCACCGTCTTGTCCAAACTGCAAATTCATGCATCCTCCAGAACAAACCTCTCCGAGTCTTTTAAAACGAAGGCTAAGCCTTTTGTGCTAATTAAAATTTCTGTTTGTATCAAATAATATATTTAGCATGCTTTTCAGCATCATCATCATCAAGCGTGATCATATATATTATATGTCTATGGTGCAAATGTTTATCGATATCCAACGTGCACCTGTAATTTACTTGTTTCTTTTCCCAACTTCGCTTGTGAGATAAAACAGTGACCATCACAGAGAGGGTGATCAGGTGCAACAATACTTAATTTCTGGTGTAAGATATGCAAGTAAATATTGTACTACGAGAAAGAATCGGTTGCATTGGTTCAACGATTCTTCGGTTGGTCACCAATCACCATGAATATATTCATATATTCATGCAACTAGGACTGACTATGTAGTCATGTTAACGTAGTTGTGGTAGTTAATTCCTTCTTTGTGGATTTGGTTTGATTTTTCAAGGCCATAAATGATGATGTCTTTAGATTTCAAGGAATTAAATTTCAAGAAAATGATATTTCTCCCAGGCTACTACGTGGCAAAATTGACCAAGTTAACCTGACTGAGGTGGAGTTATGTGTTAACACGCCAAATCGATCCCTAATGTGGCGAGTCATTTTAAACACTAAATTTGACAAATACAAGTCCAAAAATGATAATAAATGGGCAGTTTGAATGTCACCATTCATGATTTTTATTGTACTTTTGCTTCGACAGTAATTTGCCGACAAGGCAAGCCAAGTCATTTTCACCTGGTATCCGCTCCAACAACCCCGGCCAAGCCCTCCCAGGGCCGCTTTTGAGTATTGGTAAAATGGAAAATTTCAAGCCAATGGACGAAAACGGAAGCACAGCAATGCATACTTCCATGAAGTGAACGCTTGGGCCGAACTTGCAGGACTGGCCATTCACCAAAAACCAAAGGGTTATCAAATTTTCGCCTGAGCATTGTCGGTGATTCGGCGAGTCACGGTAATAGGGGCATCAAGAAAAGGGTTACTTAGATCAGGACAGCTTATGCAAGGACACAGCCTAAAAGAGGATTGGAGTCTCTACGTAGTAGGGCATGATGGGAAAACCGGAAGAGGGTTTAAAACCTATGTATGCATGGGCATGAATTGGGGAGAGTTCACCATATTGATATTGTAGCCGTGTAACATGAAAATAGAGGGTTTCAAACTTTCCAATTTGATCATCGTTGTTGATTCCTGGCTCGAAATAGTAAACGGTTTACTTGTCGTGTGCAGCAGAAAACTCGAGATTATTTGGCCCCTCCCTCAAAGAGGATGTTGAACAACTGCGCATCCTCTAGGCTAAAAAGAACGCAGTTCCAATTGACGTTTATCAATTTACTAATGTGAACGCATGCTTTTCATCCATTCTTAATTAACAGCAAATTGCTGGCAATGGCCTATTGGGGCTGCTACTCTGACCATAGAGGAATAAATACATTTCCTGAAAACACAAGTGCCCCCAAAGCAAGCAAGCACGCACGCGCATGCGCAGACAGAGACAGAGACACGACCGTGACACCCATGAGAGAGACAGAGAGTCGCACAATGCATGCTAAACGTTAACGAGGCTGGCTGGCTATGAAAGCATAATTACGCTGTTCACTGCTATACAAGATTTGGTCATGCAAAGCATTCCGCTGGCATCCATAATTACAACCAAGCGATTGCAAAATACTAATTAAGTTTCTTCTACAAAGACAGTATTCAGTATTCACACGTCAGTTTGTTTGTTTTGTTGTTCCCACGGATCAGGAGGAGGTGATAAATACTGTACCCCCCTGGAGGCGCGTTTGACTCTGAAATTCGCCATGAGGGCAACATGATCAGATGACCATAGAGGTGAAGGCAGTAATCGCTTCTCCAAACTATCATAATCAAGAAGTTTCAACAGCCCGTCAACCTTCAACCTATTTTCTGTACAAAAAATACCACAGGCATCGGTTTACTTTTCACTGTTGGACCAAAATTATTGGCCATCATAGCGTAATACGTACAAAATTTGTCATTCATCTAACTACACCCAGAAAGAGAAAATTTTTCATAATATCAATGCCAAGTAACTTGGACAAATATATAACTGATGCTGATAAGTCAAGTTAGCACAGTTAATATTTGCTTCCCTAAGACTTGACCGCCAACTACTGAACTATGAAGGATGGCAAGAAAGTATTATTACTTTGAAAGAATTCCATTGTGCAGGCAAAGTAAAAAGTACCTCTTTCTAAAGACAACCGCTGACAAACTTTAGTGAAGCAACTACCATATAACTTACTTGAGTACAAAATATAGTCCAACGTTCCAGTTAAACTTGGTTTGAAGCAGGTGAAAAGAGGCTCCATTGCTTGATAATCCATTTTTCCCTTCTGGTGTTGCCCAACTTCATTTGAATCAAGTAAATGTGCATATGCGCAGGCCTAGAAGAGGAACCTTACTGCATTACAGGGCTAGAAAGTAACACTCAGGAGGAAAACAAAAATTTGGAGGTGCTAATAGTTGTAATTTAGAAGCAGCAAAGGGCCTGCCATCTTTCAAGATCAAAACGAGAGAAATGGAAACAAAAGCAAAGTCAATACCATTTGTCTTTAAAAGTGAACCATTGGAGGAAACTCAACAGCCACAACATTGTCCACTGAACACATTAGCAATTACTTCAACAAAGAGCTGTACTAGTGATAAGATGGATATGACAGCTGTCAGCAGAATCCATAGATTTCAAGCCAATTGCCAGCAGGGAAAGTGCACTTTATACCCAACAGAACATTATAAAGAATACAAGCAACAAAAACTGAAGACGTATAAGGATGAAGGATTCAACCTTCTAAAACCATGAGAAAAGACCCTATTCTAAACTCATGGAGAAAGAAAAAAAAAAAAAGAATTAAGAAAAGAAACACCATCTACACGGATCTTTTCACATGATACTGGCTTAATGGAACTTTCACCTTTGGAGCTTTAAACAATAATTTTCTTCATCAGTTAAAAAGTAGGGAGAGGAACTCATAAAGCTAAATCACCCTACACAAGATGGATCAATGGGAAAATTTGCCTCTTATATCAACATAGGACTAACATAAAAGACATCTCCAAAGATAAGGTCTATAAGCCGGCTTTAAGAAACATGCCTCTCAAGCAACAAAAGCCAAATAAAAAGAGCCCACTTACCAGATGCATCGAGTGGCTAAGTTTCAGATGTTTATGTATTCCCAGAGGGTCTCTGAATTTCTCACTAAAACATCCAACTTCACCATTTATGAGGAAGCGATGAGGATCGCTGCACCATCAGATGGCAAAAAGATATAATAACTAATCTACTCAATATAATGACAATTCAACATCTGTTGTTTTACTTCTCTACATTGATGAGAAATAACAAGAATTAACTTTTAACAAAACTAGTATACATTGCATTGAACACAACAATCATTCACATGTTTTGATATCTGAAGGAAATATTTAAGATAGTGAAATGTGGCTTAGTCACTTTACTAGAAATAATGAATGATACTACAGAGAGAACCCGATATACAGACTTTTCCGCAACTTGTAATGGGACCCTTAAATTTCAACCTCTCAATTTTCATGTGCATAAACAAAACTATAATGAATCTCATATACTAAACTTAAACCCTTAATCAATCATTATGATCATGGGCAATCTAAACCAGAAGAAGTTCATGGCAGCAGTGCAACCCTTATAAATGAATTGTCTGTAAGGTCTTACTATCTTAAGTTTTTATATAAGGTGCAAGTTCAATATCCACCCATGATATACTACATTATGAACTTTTGTCAAGCAAGACATATTATGGAATATCAAGTTTGTCTCCCAGTACTAACCAAAACATCACCAACAATCTTCCCACAAGTAGGCATATCTTTTTAGTCGATTGTATAGGACAAAACAAAACAAAACATATTAAAAAAAAGAATAGGACAATTTTGAATCAGTAAACTAGAAATGGAATCACAAAACATGGTCTGCATCAGTCTAAAGATAATTTGCATTAGTTCCCTGGTACATCCTCAAGCATTGAGTGGCAATTTTGTACATGACATGATGATTCAGGCACCAGAACAAGTGAATAGGTTATAAACCAAACCAGAACAGATAGTTTAAGGAGTGTTACTTCTTTATGACATGCTCATGCAGATCTGTAATTGACAGGCTGGCCTTCTAGAAATTTCAGGTTGCCCTATTAATCCATAAACCCAAGACAATACCCATTTAACATCCGAGTTATATTGATATAATTCAATTCCTTCATCGTAAAATAGAAAAGTTCATGCAAAAAGCATCATTTGATCAAGTTCTTGCATGTTTTATATGTAGAAAAAAAACCGAAGTAAATGTTGTTAATAAGTAAGTTACATCAAACAGGTTTTAAGGTCAAAATTATCTCTAAGGAACCAATCGGTTAAGCAGATCTGGCAAATAAATTTTTTGTAGTAGAAGTTAAACAGGCCTTACACATTCATTGCATCAACTCACCCAGTCAATAAACAGGTCAAGGCACACTAGAACGCAACAGCACCGATACACCCATTTACACTACTATCCCCAACTACTAAGCAACATATAGCCATCAAACTGAAAACAGTGATGTAAGATTTAAACCAAACCATAAGTAGGAAAATCCATGCATTTTGAACCACCTAGCAATCATATTTTGCTATTCTCAAATCTTGTCCAGAATGACCTAGCTGTTTACATGAAATTAAGTTTGAATTGGAGTATAAGTAGGAAATTAAGGAGAGAAGTATCTAACAGTCATATCCTTTTCCATTCATAAATATATCTACATCAATAGAGACTTCAAATAGGGGAAGGAAACCAAAATGCAAGTCACATCACAGATAAAGGACAAACCTTCCAGGAAGAGAATTCATGTCACCGCAAATCAAAATAGGAATGCCTGAAGAATCAATCTTTTCAAGTCCCCTGATGAGATTGACAACCTGATATCGTAACAAATAGGTTTAAGCTGCCGTTTGAGTGGCAACTACAAGAACAAATGGTTGACTACATACTTGGAATAGTCTCACGTCAGAAGCATCCGAACCACGATGGATATGAGTATTTGCCTACAGAAAAATCAATAGTCATGTCAGCTCATTGACCTGTTTGCAATAAGGACAACACCAAGAATAAAAGTCACAATACTTGTGTGAGTTTGAACAGCGACAGTACCACACAAATTGTAGACCTAGCAGCATCCTGAGAACGTCCATTGTCCTTTTCCTCCAGTATCACAACAAGTGCAACATTGTCCTAACACATTAAAAGCATAACAATAAACCTCTGAATATTGAAAAGCTTTGTTGCCAGTGTAGTGTACATGGGCCACTCACCTTCATAAGGCGAAAAAGACCATCATTTCTTTTATCAGGTTCAAGAACTTCAATTACAGGCAGTGCCATTTTGTCATACTCTACCTAGATGCACATGGCTACTAAGATTAGGATTCATTTAGAGCAATCACCAAACCACAAGACAAATGAAGTAGCCCTTTTTCACCTCATATTTAATAACTATCTTGAAGCGGTCATGGCGGAAAAATGTTGCACACCCATCAATTACATATTCATTGGCACTATACACCTGCAAGAGACTATAATTTTCATTTTCATATAAATTTGACAGTAGACAATGTGCTCTTTAAGATGGCATGTATCAGGTTCGAAAATGCAGGCATGGATTGCTGCTGCTTTGCATTTATTAGCAGATACTAGGGGTGGGATGCGCGTTATGTCATCCTCTGACTGTTGCAATTGCCATTACAGAACATGTGTGGCCCATGCAAGTGTAAAACAAAACCCTTTCACAGCAACCTCAACCAGTATGATAGGTTAATTTGGCAGCACTAGAATTGCCATATTTGTGTTAAGTTGCATATAGAGCTATCCAAAAAAATCTTTGAAGTTTCTCGTTCACTTTTGATTTCATGGGTTCTAATTTCACTATGTTACCTCAAAAGAAGATTCTGTACATCAAAACTTTTTCATCAAGTCCCTTTAGTTTTTAAAGTTCATAATTTTCTTTTGTGATGACAATGAAAAAAATTTATTAAGAAGGTTTTAATATTTTGTTAAATATAAGTTATACAAATAGCACAAACATCTGGATTCTATTAAGTTTGATGGATCCCTATGTGGATTTAATCCAATAGATTTATCATTTAAGTGAACTCGGATCACTATTAGTTCAATCACTATCCAGGTCTACCAATTCCAATCCGAATCCAATTCCGATCCGAATCCACCAGTCTTCAGCCCAAAGGCAGTCGATATTAGATTTTTTCAGGTGAGTTGATATACATGGTTGAAGGGACTCAGTAGAGACTTCATGCTAGCTTTAGATAATCCTACCACTTTGCAGATTTTAAGAGCTATATTTTCCAAAGAAAAGGAATTATCCATTTTCAGAAGCAAGTGTTTGTGGAAGCACACCTCCTTGGTTTTCCTCTTATAAATAGCTGAATAACCCACTTTTGCAAATTCAGATTCAAAGAAATTCTTAAAATGATCACTCTGCACCTGCTTGACCCACAAGAAAAGTAGCAAAGAGAAAATTGTTAAGAAGAAGATCAGAAATTTCCTTATCCAAATTCAATATGCACAGAGAGAGAAGCAAGTATTACCTCCTGAAGACAAAGGATATCGGCATCATAAGAAAGGATCTCATTGAGCAAATTACGCCGACGATATTCCCATGTAAGTGCCCAGTTAGGGCAGTGAGTATATGCACCACTTACAGTATATAGGTCAGCTAGGATATTATAAGATAATACCCTGAAACTTTCTTCTTTGAAAGGTGTGGCAATACACTTGGGATTTCTCAATTTTCTGAGGGAGCAAAATACGATCATATGGCGAGGATACGGACGAGGTAATCTAATGACAGGAGTAGTAACAAAGACATTAATCGACATTTTGATGCCCATGTCATCTATGGCAACAGAGACCAGCCTTAGGCTGGAGTTAATATCATCCTCTGAAGGTGTATAGGTTCTTGAAGAACCTACTTGAATCCAAGTTTTCCCCTCTCCATCGACAATTTTTAAACCCTCAGAGTTTAGCAAACCATGCTTTTCTTGATTCAATCCACCACCATATATAGTCATACTACTATCTCTAGAAGCATGATCTTGGAAAGCTACATAGTCCTGCAATTCAATGAAACAAATTTTACATCAACAAGATATATATGTGTATGTGTGTGTGTGTATATATATATATATATTTTTTTTTTTTTTGGTTTCGGGAATGCTCATAAGTATAAAGCCAGTATCAGTAAGAACTGCCAACCTCGACACATTTAGGCAAAGTAGAAAACTCTCTGTACCTATAGAATAATTTACAAATGTTAGTTTTCAGGGGGGGTTCTGCCAGCAACTTGGAATGCCAAACCAAAAGGAAACAACAAAATTTCCACTATAAAGGGGCAAGAATGAACATGAGATGAAGAAAAACCTGATGGACAACTTTTGAGCAATCAATCTTCTGGCGATAAAAGAAACAAGCAAGAAATTTAACCGAAGACAAATAAACAAAAGAATGTGGACAAATAAGGAAAAGTAAAATCCTAGAATTTTTTAGGTTTTTAACATGTGAAAAGCACAATAAATATAACTCTACAATTGTCTCCACCAAATAAAATCAATCTCTTTGGCGGGAAAAAGGTAGAAGAGATTACCACTAAGACATGTTTTCATATTCAAATTAAATCCTATTTACCCATACTTTCAATGCAAAAAAATCCAGTAACTGTAAATCTGCACAATGAAACACACTTTTAAATGCTAAGCCTTCTTATTTATGTATTCTCTTTTAGTCAATTTACCAAATCATTAAAAAAAAACGTAGATTCTTCACTTAACTTTCAAAATGCTTTTGAGACTTTTGTAATTATTTGCAGAAAAACAACTCCAAATGGGTCCTATTATATATACTTCTTCTAGAATCTACCGTCCTAATGTCATATTCAAGAACTTCCGAGAAGTGGTAGCTTGTATCACTTATGATCAGTTTCCACGAGCAACAGAACTTCATGTACAATGTTCAGGCAGCATTCTTATTCAAAGAAATTTCAGGACATATATGAGGAGCTTTTTTTCCTTTTTTTTTTGGAGGGGGGAGGGGCCGCGAGGGGAGCAAAGCAGGTGCTTTTCAAAAGTTCATGGCTGGCAACAAAGAGCAAAAGTAATCAGCATAATCATCGACATATCATAAACCAATTTTATGAAAGCAATTAACTGATGCTTTGAAAAAAGGATGACAAGACACCTAGAAAGAATATTTGAACCAATAGGTGACACTAAGCAGACAATGTTTTCATGTGCTTTTATCTGGTCTGCCATTGCCCAAAACACCTAAGCCCTTGGTTAAGCCTGTGAAAGACTATAAAGAAAGGTTCTTTGGCATTATGTCTAACTGCTGTATCAAACAGGGCACCTTTGGCAGGGCCAATTTGAGCTGCTCATCAGGAGGACTCTCAAAGGGTGAAGTTTTTGCACTTTCCACTGCTAAAGATGGATAGTCTGTTGGCAATAAAGGTTCCAATAGATTCCTGGTGATGGAGAAAATATAATAGCTCTTGCTTGGGAACTATAGCCCGCTGGTGATGCAAGAAAACACAATTGCTAACAGCTCTTGGTGAGATCTATAGTTCCTGATATAGGCAATTTGCCCTCTTGAATTGTCACTATTGGAAATCATTCAATTCTGCATACTCTTTGGATGCTCTGGCGACATATGGAAGTCGATATCTCTCCCATATGCCAATATTCAGCATGTCACCGAGCCAAATTTCTTCATGTTTACAAGTTGTCCTATTCTGCTCTTCTTAAACGCACTTCTCATTACTTGTCTAAATCAACGGCAGAAAATGCTATATTACGCCATTTCTGCTGGACTTTGACAAAATCCTGCACCTGACAAACTATACTTGGCACATTTAGGTCCACAATCCCTAGTGTACAGGGATATAATAGAGAGCATCTTTTGCAATTAAAGTCCCAAAATAGCCTTGAAGACTAAAACTTGGATTATTATGAACTCTAACAGCAGGCAGTGATCATCTTATCCACCCGCCATCCAACCAAAAACTGCCCAATTGACTACCTCCCTTCTCGCAGCGTATCACAATTCTGACACACATAAAATCATGGAAAATGGACAATTTGCTTATGATGATTTGAGGATTGGGTAAAGCTCGAGAGTCATGATTAATTTAATTTAACTTATCATAATTAGTACACATGACCAATTGGCCATTAGATAAAGCTCATAATTGATTGAAAAGAGTTGTCACAGCATTCAAAAAATCTTCCAGCAACCAAAGAAAAAAAAAAACACTAAAAGCAGCATAAACTAAGAAGAACAAAATAAAGAGAACAAACCAAGCAAACTGGAGGGCATAGTTGGGAGGGGACACGTAAGAGCCTTTGTAATTGACACGGACCCATGGATTCAGCTCAATGCCGGCGACAGGTGTGTCCGACGGGAACCGGACTTGCACTTCCCACTCCAACCCCATGATCAATTTCTTGTTGATCTTTTCAGTGACCCTCCTTGTTTGCTATTAAAACCCACAAAAGATTCTTACAACTTGGATGAATAGACATGAAAACAAGTGAACTGAACTGCAATATCAGCAGAATTGGGCTGGAATCTTATACTCTTTCTACATGGATAATGAATAAAGGTGGGAAGGGTGATTCGTGTGTTCACACCATTTTGTTTTTTTCCTATACTCAATCTCAATGCTTATCTCAAGTGAAAAGTAAAGAGCCATTGTCCCTTGTTTTCTTGTGAGACGGTTTTCATTTTCTTGTGGGATTTTGGCAAGGAGTAGAGGGGAAAGGGGTAGAAGCGGTGGGGAAGACAGGGCGGCCATAGAGGTTGGGTGCTGTCTGATGCTGCATTTTGTTGACAAATGTTTGACATGGAGATTGACTCGAAGTTAGAAAAGTCGATGAACCAGTGAAGGGCACATCTGCAAATTTCCAGTACAATGGTTTTTTTTTTTTGCCCCCTTGTCTAGGAAAGTGGGGCCTCATTGCTATTAGCTGAAAGATTGGGGTTTCGGTTGAATGTAATTATAATACGAGAACAAAAGGAAATCTGAATTTTTGGTTACAATGAAATATATCGGACGAAGTACTTTCTTGTACAACTTTTGCTATTTCAAAACCAAAACTAATTTTTCTGAGTAATATCTTCTCATTTTTTATATATAAAAATCAAAGTTCCTACAAAATGTTGTTAAATGAGGCCCATGCAAGTAATTTATGTTAATCTTTGATCACTATTTTGGACAAGATGTAACATGGGCAGGCATGTGTAATGGATAGGGTGTGGATTGGATAACTTTGATCTAGGTACATAATACAGATCCATTAAATTTAATTAAACATAGACCAAAATTCAGACCCTTATAGATCTGAAAAAATAAATCCCAACCTAGACTCTCCTGCATTTGGGTATCCAATGAATACCCATTGTATTTTTGTAAACACACTAAAATAAAAATATATTAAAAATATATAGATTTCAATAAAAATATAAACACCATCCAATTTTTTTTCAAATAATAAAATTAATATTCAAGAAGTTGAAAGCGATATTATGAACTCAAAAAATAACTACTACAGACTGTTTCTATTTATTTTTAAAATTTCAACTGTGTCTACGTCAAATCTTTCATTAATTTGCCTTTATTTTTCCCCTTTTTTCTAAAAAAGTTTGTACTGATTACAATAACAACTAGAATTAGGTTGAAAAAAGGGAAAAAAATCATGAAATCTTACTGTATTGTATCTAATAACCATAGAATATTAGAATATTTTATAAATCTATTAATATATATATAATTTAATTATATATACATGTAGAAAAATAGGGTCTAGTATGGGTGTGGATTTAGATATGGATCATAGAAAATCAGATTCTATTCAGACCGGTAACTCTTTTGCAGGATTCGGATCTAAGTAGAGTTTGAATTTGAAAAATTAAATATAAACCCTGCTGAAATATATTGGGTTTGGATTGAATCCGAACGAGAGATCCATTGACACGACTAAACATGGCCTACAATTATCAAGGAATATTAGCGTGTTTTATGTTTTTAACTATTGAGTCTAAAATTTGTAAATGGCTTTGAATACCATGTGAAGTAGTATTACTAAATCATAAATTATTATAAAGACTATTCTGCCTTTTTTTTTTAAACTATTCTCCTTATTTATATTGCCACCCGTTGCAATTTTGGCTCCTTCCTTTTGGAACTAAGGCTAAACTAAATGCGCCAATTAGCAGTGGCACCCATTTTTCTTGCAAAAAATGTATCTCGATAATTGAGAGTTCGACATAGAGCTCCTAGATTATTTTTTTCCTCTTGGTAGTATCGAAAATCTGGGAAGTCAAATCATACATCTTGTACTTGGAAAAAATCTTTCCTATGACAGTAGTAGTATTTGACAAACAAGTCCTTTCAATAGTGGCAAATTATTGCAGCAAACTATCCGAGAATTTGCAAACTTAATGAATGAATACGGAGAGTTTGTATGATATTATGGTACAAATGCATCTTAGTGAGTCATTCGCAAGAAAAATGAGGGTCTAATGTGGATTAATTGAGAGGGACAACAATTGTTATGCATGATAGTGCATATGTCGAAATCTCCTCTCTAATAAAAGATCAATCAGCTCTAACATTAGTACTTCATATCTACTTCTTCACAACCTAACAGAAGAAAAATGGTATCAACTGTTGGAAATTTTCAAAATTTGCATCTAGTAATTCTAGAATGTACATACATGTATTGTATTATGAATCAATTGATTCTAAGGTGCACATACATTGTGATAAATGTATATTCATTCATGAATTTGAATGTATATATTTTCACGTATGTGGAGATTATTGAATATAAGGATAGATTCATATCTTTAATCATAGAATCATGTGATGCGTGAATTAAAATACATGAATTTATATATAATACTTTGAATCTATTCATACAAGTATTTATTAAGTTTATTTGTTTCTTAAACAATCTCTCCTATATAAGAAGATCAAGTAGAGAGTGATTTGCTGCAGAAAATCCCTTTTCCACTACTTAGAATTCTCTCAAAAGCACTCCTTAGTTCAAGGTGGTTTGTCTTACTTTGTGCAAGAGTTTAAAACAAACAAATTTCATCTTATCCTAAAGGATATTATCCAAGGTTATTATACGTTATACCGGACAAATAAAGCCTAAAGGAAAGTGATATTCTATCACGATTTGAAACCAATTCTTGTTACTTTGTTTGCCAATTCATTGTAATATTCCCAACATCAACTATGTCATTCACTTAGCAACACAATTTACTCTAATCGGGATTATACTCACGAGTTTAAAATCAAGCAGATATAAGAGATTGTTTCAACAATTTATCCTATTTGTTTTCGAAAAACAAAAACAAATAATTAAAAGATAAAAGAGATTTCAATAAACATTCACTATCAAAACTTTACAATCACCTTTTTTACCTCACATGTATCGCTATAGTAATTTTTTCATAAAAACTCTTAAAAAATTGCAATTCAAACAGCACCTAAGATTTTTGAATTGCATTGATTTATGTTCGACTCAACAACTAATTAAGGCAGGAAGAGAAGTTGTGTCCCACGCCTATGTTCTAGCCAATGCACATTGGATCTTCGGTGCTACTTTTTCAACGACAATTCAGTGTCACTTCTATTTTTATACCAAATATCCTGTTTATTTAATTTATCATGTGTTGTTTATTTAAATTTTTTCTACCCTCACGTGATAAGTGGAATTGACATTGAATTTGGCACCAAGTAATGGTACAGAAAATCCCAATTGTAGCCAATGTAACTAGGTTGATGTAACTCTGGTTATCAATGCAATTTCTTAGGCTTTTCTTAGGGGGGAAGAAGTGTTCAACTCACCTCAATTGCACAATTTTGACGCAGCAAAGTCAATAACTAAACTTTGATTCAATTAAACTTGAGCGCTTAATATATACTAAGCATTTTTTATCCCCAAAAGAAAAAGGGTTTTTGGGCAAAAATAAAAATAGAGTTGAGTGAGCACATTGTATTCAATCAATGAGCTTTGACTAGAGACTTAAAATAGTGATCGAAGGTCAAAACCGGTGAAGGATCCAGCACTCGTATATTAATAAGTTTTACAGAGTCTGGAGCTGGTAGTTATCTTCCCTCGCTGAATTTGAAAATCAATCAAAAAGATTTAGCAGAATCCACAGACCAGAAACAGAGAAACTGAGATGGCTACGAAACTTTTAACATCTATGGAGGAGGTGGAAATCAATAATGACATCGGAGGAGAGAATCAATCTCGAAACATCAAATTAGAAGCCGCAATTCGATGCGCCAAATCCGCCATGCTGCTCTCTTCTCTCAAACGACATCATTCCTCCCACAGTTCCACCACACTCACCAATGTGCGTTTCTGTGTGTGCTCTGCTTGTTTCACGTAATTACTGTGTTCTCTACTTAATAATATTATGTAAGCATGAGGAGTTTTAATTAAATTTTCAGGATGACGAAAAGGTGGAGGAGCTGAAGAAAGAGCTGGTAAAGGCCAGAGTGAGGAATAAGAAGATGAGAACCTGCAGCTTTTACGAGCTTTGTCTCCAGGTCGCGCTCTTGCTCTCCCTCTGGACTCTCTGTTTGTTGATCGCCTTCAATTTTCTCTATCAGTTCGCAAATAATTCTCCGCCATAAACGATCGACTGCGTCTGATTGTTTGTAAAAGTCATGGATTTAGATTCTGGAACTCTGTAAACAGGAAGGCGGTAGTAATCTGTGTTGATTGAATTTCAGTAGATGCTTTCAGTTTACTTGTAGTTGAAGTATAAAATCTATCTCAATTGATAGTTATCACAAATAACGGGATTTTGTTTCGTTCTGATTTCGGTGGGATAATTCATTCAGAATACAACCAGCGTTCATCTCGGCTTTGTTCTCATGTTTCTTGGAGACCAAGCTTTGCACTCAGTTGATGATTTTACCTAAGTAATTTCAGCGTTTCTCAATTGGAAACTTTTCCTTTTCCTTTTCTTTTTTTTTTTCTCATTTTTTGCTTGTCTACAGTGGAGAAGATTAGATTATTATGGAGATGAATAATGTTGCAAGTTATTCATCAAAGCCTGCTCCTCTAGTTTTGTTTTATTCTCGTCTGTTTCCGATCCTAATGGTCTGCCTTAAACAGAGAGTTTTACCACCAATTCCTCCTTTTATTTCTTTGGCATCTGATTTCATGATTGGATTTTTCATCTTCTGGAGAAATTGTTAAATTGTAGCGAAGTTGGACGTCAATTTCCATAGTTGTACGCTTTCTACATTAGAAAATTTTGGTAGGCGTTGAACTTAGAAGTATTTTAATTCGAAAGAATATTTGTAATTCGTCACATAACCTCTTCCACCAAAAATCAAGATGCATAGGGGAATGCAATATTGGCCATACATCTTTAACAAGAGCTCCGTGATGGGGAGAAACTAACGAATTTGGGTATTGATAAAGCTGTGACACCTGCAAGGATTTCTTTTCACCTCAAGTTTCCATTTGTACGATGACCCTGTATGACAGCAGATTGCGGCTAAAATAAGCAGCCTACTCGTCCAGATATATGCCTCCACTATATACAATCAAACTTCCAGATAAGAGTTCTGGAGCCGCGAAAACAGGCAATTTCGCATTTCAGACACAAGTAAGCGTTTAATTCTTGTTTTCAATGAAGGAACATTATTACAGTTGCAATGTACAATTTTTGTGTGCTAAAATGTCTAGAATTAAAAAGTTTCATCCTCCATTTGCAAAGCCTTCTATTGCATGATACAGTTCCTGCTGAAATCCAGATGCAGCAGCGATTTGATACTACAAACAACTTGACTAAGAGAAACAGCTCC